TAAACCTAAAACACCTATAGAACAGCTGATCGGGGAATATTTTAATTGACGCACCTGAGCCAGAGCGTTCGAAATTTCGCGCGCTCCTCTGACGCAAATTTACCTCTGCGGCTCTCTCGTCGCTCCGCACTTTTTTTGCCTTCGCAAATTTCTTACCTTATTTGCCTCTTTTTTTCTCCACTCTGAGGCCTGCTCGGCTCGCATTTCTCCTAACCAATAGCATAATGTGCACCTTGAGCTTGTTAAAAATAATAAAGGAAATGTTTATCTCGGGAACCGCTGCAACGAGGCAAAGTAAAAAATGTTTCTATATTTATAAATAGTTGAGCAATTAAAAACACGTGAAATGTCTCGTTAAAGTTAAAGTATAATGGACGAATTTTCGTGCAACAGAGCAAACTTTGAGCTATTTCAGGTGTAATTTATCGCGCATATCAAAAATCGCCTGCATATCTAGCGAGGAATAATAATGCGAGAAACTTTCCATTCGCCGACGTTCGTACGTGTAGCATCGAAAAAGATTTCACTTTGACTTACTAAACGCTCTCCATCTACCCTAATGCCTTTTTACGTAAACAATACATGATTGTCTAGATATTATGAATTGGTCTCGCAAAAATAACAACTTTGAGGATTACGCGTGCGATCAGAGCTGCTGTACTTTTTTTTTATATTAAATTTTATATCATACGTGAACGAGCTGAAACATCGCCGAGGGAAATCTGTCGGTCTCTCTAGACCGTAACATTGTCGTCGACGGTGTTATGCCGCGAAAATGCAAATTCACCTTTTATAGCGCTCATATATGTCTCGTTGCGATATCAAGCCATACCAAACGCAGCTTCCTTCTGCGCAAATGATGCTAAAAATGGACAAACGATTTTATTGTTATTTTAGCATTGCGTGTGCGTGTATGTGTGTCATGTAATATTTATAGCTTTTCTAGTCTCAGATTGTATCTGCTCAATGACTTTCATAAAACATCAATTGTCTTCGGTAATTTTTACGAAATTTTCACGTATTGAATTTCTTGAAACAAATTTCTTTTTTCAATAACAATGACATGAAATAAATGAAAAATTAGCTAACACTATGGTACCAAAACATCGAGTTTATAATGACACGAATAAACTGATTAATCAGGCTACCAAACCACCAATGCTTGAAAAAATCTCGCATACTTCACTAGTTTAATTTCCTTTTTCATACACATTAGAGGCTTTGGAAGGTTGAAACTATTGTAGTCCTACGAAATGTCATGGCTCAGCGTCCAAATAGCCAAAATAAAAAGCTCGTTGCGAGTTTCCCGATCAAATTGCTGTACTATGCTCAAGCAAAAGAACATTAAAACGCCATCTGTGCTTCATTATTCGAGGCTGTGGATCCACATGTTTATACTGGCTTATGCAAACTGCAGAAAGTCATTGTTTTTCTTGCGCAATTTTTTTTCTAAATGAACTTTTTCTTTCACTTTTTTATCATATAGACAATGCATAAGCAAATTCATTCATTAAATCATGTTATGAAAATAACGAACGTTAAGTGTATTTTTGAATATTCTTATTTTACTACGTTGATTTAACTTATAAATTTAATTCTTCGCAGACGCTCCAATTTATATTCAAGTAATGCAAGAAGCAAATTCAAGTTCTGTACAAAAATTGAGAAAAAGAGATAACATTAATTTTTATAATTTATAGATAATAGGATATGTAACTTTAAAAGTTATCGTATAAATCGTTTCGCATTATTTTGTTTAAAATGATTATCATTGTTATAAAAGAATAGAAATATAGTTTAGTGCGCGGTACCGTGCTATTATTACAGAGTTTGTGGCAAAATTAGTAAAAAGGGGTTAAAAAATGACACGATAAGTAATTTAAACTAAACGAAAAAAAGTTAATTAAGTAAGAAAGCAGCTTTTCTCAGAAGAAATAAATAAATAAAAAAATAATCAAAAATTGGTACGAAATAAAATATAGTTGGTATAATTTGTCGTAGGATTCGGGTGACTGTCTTCATTTGTTTTTCGCCCTCAGGCAATCCAAATATAATTATAGAATCCATCATCCAAGGCTGCTTAATTCAGCTCATACACATGCAAGCTCTTTATCGATAAACCATCCCCGCAGCTAATCTCTCTCCTGAAAATGAACAAACATTCTCGTATACAATGATGTTGTTCAATCACAAAGAGATTGAACCTATGATGAATGAGGCATACATTTTTATGCTAAGTTTTTTTTTGAAAATTTAAAAGATATTGAATTTATCGTAAGATATTTTAAGAGAAACATAAATTTTAATTAGAAGGGAGGTTCTTGTTACATGTGTGCAAATTACGCCTGCAACATATGTATTATTAGACTGTCCTCGTTTTCCCGAATCTTGCTTCCATGCTTTCAAAATTTCTTTTGAACCAAAAAACTCCAAAACTCGTAGGTGCGTCTTATTATTATTTGACCGAACTTGTAGTCGAAAAGTTATCCTTATTTTTCAAAAATTCTCTGAAAATGTATGCGTATTCTTTGGCTGATTCCTCTGAATTTTTTTTCTACATTTGTTTATTTCGAAATAAAAAATCCCAAAGGTTTGTAATGGTGATAAAAAATTTAAATTTATAATTGATGGAAACTCTGTTAGTGTTTTGAAAATAACTTTTTTAGTACATAGTTCTACAGCAGGTACGGTAAAATAATTATGTGGAAGGGCCGTAGCTACAATTATTTTAATTTTTAGGTTCTAAAAAAGTTTTAAAAGCACGGAATGAGGTTCCTTGCAACCATGGGAAATTATGGATACTCTCATATGGTTCATTATTTCAAATCACGTCATTACGTGTCTTGGTATCCAAACTTGTGGAAAACGAGAAAAAAATTAAAAACCAAGTCGGTACTTCGTCTCATTCGATGGAATACTGCAGTTCTAAAATGACCTCGAATTACTGCCAAATTGATTTATTAGTGAGATAAACATACAACATGTCCCCTCTGTGACCTGTCCTGAACTCAAAATTGCTTTTTTTCTCTCAATATATGTGTTTTTACAAAAATCCAATATTATTCCGGAACATAGACCCTCTGCTATACATCTCAAGTAAATTTTTTATTTATAAGTAATAAGTGTGTCCTATAATTTTGTGAAATTTCATATCATTTAAAATATAGGACCTGTTGCTGCGCTAGTGAATCATTTTGACCTCTACAACTCCACGAGGGCTATGCTTCGCTACGCTAAATAATGTGTCCCTTTCGAGTATGATGAAGCTGAAAAAAATTTAAGGCTTTTTAGAAAAATACCACTGGGAAAATTTCCCGATTTTTCCAGTTAAAAATGTCTTCAAAATAGTTATTGAAAGAAAACGGAAGTCCATATCATTTATAGCTTACAGGAGCGATATTGGGGTTCAGAGTCTCGGCTTTCTAACTATTTTTTCATGTACATCGGATGGGCATCAAAAGGGAAAAGTTTCATAAAAACCCTGACGCTGTTGATACGCGTCGGCGCAGCGTTGACTCGACTATTTTTGTATCTTGTCGGTGCACGACGTTTATTCACTGCTACATCAGAGTCATGGCAAAAAAAAAATTAGAATCTAGATTAGTAGAACTCAGGACTGTGATAAAGTAAATGACAATAGTATTACTGGTACGCGGGTTGGGCGAGTTAGAGCCCCTACTTTAAAGTAATTACTATAGATTAACATTTTCGCACTGATGCAGAATAAAACGAAAGCGGGTATAGATATGTGTGAAAAAAATCAAAGTCAAAGTTTAGCTGGGAGCAGCGAAAAGTAGACGCTCGTGCGTACACGCGTATACACGTGCGAAGCTCGAAAACGGTTGGGCGCAAACATATGTCGGTTATATTTAAAAGGCTTTTGGGATTAGCTTCATCAGCAGGACGTAGAAAAATATTTCCGCTCGTCTGGATAACAATTGATGTGCATAAATGCAAATGTGTATCGTAGCTGCGAAAAGCATTATTTATCTTTTCATAGAAAGGAGAGAAAGAAGAAAAGTTGGCATACGGAAGCAACGCAGGGGTGAAAGCTTCGCAGGCAGGCAAATGACGTTGTTACGCGCGCTTTGTCCGTTGCTTTATTCATGCAGCCGGGGAGAGGCAGCTCGAGTCATGGCTGTAATCGCGTTCGTCCTCGGGGCTCGGAGCGCGATGCAATTTGCGTGTGGCGCGCTACGCATGAGTAGCACAGCTGCAGATTCAAGGTTTTCTCGGTACGCGGCCGACGAGCATACCCCACCCCGTGTGCAGTCTCGGCTGTATATGCGCCGTGGCGAAAAGAGCCGCGAGCCGTTGTAGCAGCAGAAGTCGGCGGCCAGTGCACGCCAGACGCCCGGAGCTTGCGATCGCGTTCCGAGCTTCTCTCTCTCTCTCGACAGATATATAGCACACGAGCGCGCAACAGATGGCCTCGAGCGCCACGAGCATGTCGTCCACTCGCGCCCTGCTCGATCTCATGGTTTTTCTGGACGTGTGCCGAGTGTACCTGGACACGAGGTGCACGGCTCGCTCGGTCCACCAGACGACGGCCTACGCTCGGCCGGCCCTCGTGCTCGGCTCGAGTCGCGGCCAGAGCCAGCGCCAGCGCCTCGGGGCCTGCACCCTCTGGGCCATCGTGACGTTCGTGCGCACCGAGCCGGGCGCCGCGGACTTTTTGCGCTGGTGCCAGGCCTACAAAGTGCTCCACCTGCACTGCGAGCCCGACGAGCTGGGCCGCGAGCCCGAAAGAGGTCGAGCCTCCCTCGGCGGCCTCGGCAGGAGGATGCACGGCTTCGAGCGCAAAGTCGTGCGCGCCCTGCAGCAGCTCTTCTACAACTGCGCCCCGTGTTTGCCCAGTGCCAACGACCTCGCCGCCGTCTAATATCCCTCCTCGCTCCTCGTTAGCTTTTCCTTAATTCGGTGTCGTGATTTTGAAGCATAAACCGATACAACTTTAACTCGTTTTTCGTCAACTATATAATGAGCCGGACCATTTGCAGTAGCGGTAGAAATCAAGGAGCCGCAGCAAGGACAGCGGCAGCGTCGCCATGTCGGACGTGGCCGAACGCAACGAGCAGGCGGCCCGCTCCCTGGCCCTCGAGCAGGCCTACGTGCACGACGTGTACGAGCAGTGCGCCGAGCGCACCCTCCATAGCCGGCCCCGGCCGAGGATCCAGCAGTTTCTCGAAGAGCTCGAGCCCGGCGCCCTCGTCTGTGATATTGGTAACGTATACCATGCTTGCTTCATTCGCTTCTCCTATTCTTATGTCGCATATTGACGCCTGTAACGCGACGAATTTTCATTTCAACGCTCGTTTTCCGTCCGAGAGAGAAAGAGCAAGAAAAACGAGTAGTAAAGCAAACTAATTAGTCAGACGCCCGTACCATAAAGTGTAGTAAAAGAAAGTAAATGAGAGTGACAAAAAAGTGACAAAACATTCATGAATCTTCAAGTAAACGCAAGCACTATAGAATAATTTTTTAATTTTTTTGTACTGCCTATAAACAAATACGAATAAAAAGTAAAAGTTGCTCTTTCTCGGTGTCATGTGTTGCGCGCAGATGCAGCCCACGCGTCAGCTTTTCCATCGTTGTTTCAAATATTGTTTCATCCGCAGATAGCTACTTTGCTCTTTTTCCTTCTCTCTCTCTCTCTCTTTTATTGATATATGCAAGCTTGTATAGCATACGGACATTGTTGTGACGCAATATAGGCTTACTCTACTAGCTCGGACTGTTCGATACAATTGATGATCGATGTAGTACGTGCGTCGCGCTACACGCTTAGAACAAGGCCACCTGCATGTGTATATATAAAGCCGAGACGATGACTTTGTTATCACTGCACTCTTTTATGTACCTATGACATCGTCCCTTTTAACGCGATTATTCACTCGAGCTAGAGGCAAGAGTGTGCATGTTGGCTAAGGTCAGCAACGTTTGTGCGTACATGGATACAAAATCGCATCTGCGTCCTTAGCTGCCCTCGCACATTTCTTGCGCGTTACTAATTTGTCATCTGTCAAAAACGAATGTCATACTTTTTTACAATATGCACGATTCGATTTTTTAACAAAATGTAGTTACTGCAGTCGCAAACAACCGCGATAGTTTAGTCGTAGCGAGCAAATGTGTATAAAAACGTCGAAACATGATCAACAGGTTGCGGCAATGGGAAATATCTCAAGGTCAATCACAACGTGTTCAAAGTGGGCGGCGATCGATGCAGAAAATTGGCGGAGATGGCGCGCGATCAGAACCGAGGCCTGAGCGCCGGAACGGCCGCCGGCCAATGCGAGCTCATGACCTGCGACAATCTGGCCCTGCCGTTCCGCGACGAGAGCTTCGACGCGGTCCTCTCGATCTGCGTCGTGCATCACCTGTCCAGCACCGAGCGTCGCGTCAGGGCCCTCAAGGAGCTGGCCCGCGTGCTGCGCATCGGTGGCAGGCTCATCATATCGGTCTGGGCCATGGAGCAGAAGCACAGAAAGGTGAGTGGTGAAGCTCGCGTGTCCTCGCTTATAATATAGCGTATCAACTCTTGTGCTTATTTTTGCTCTTTAGTTCGAGTCGCAGGACGTTCTGGTGCCGTGGCCGAAAGCCTACTGCCTCAGCTCGGCCGGCGGCAGCCCGATCAAGCCCCGAGGCTTCGTCTGGGACGAGCATCAGCGTCAGCGAGACAGAAACGGCCAAAGTTCTTTGTCGGGCAAACGGTAAGCAAGCTCGTTCGACACACGTATACTTACTCGTAGCTCACTTTTGCTCTGGCTTTCCAGGGAGAAGCGACGAGGCAGCAAAGTCGCAGCCAACAAAGCCTACTGGATCGAGCCGATCTTCAGCCCGTCGCCCTCGACGAGCAGCAGCCTGTCCAGTCCCAACGAGACCTGCTACAGCTTCTTTCGTCGGGCCCTGCAAAAGCTCGCGGGTGGCCGTCGCAACAGTCGGGCCTGGTTCCTCGACAACTGGCAGCAGCAGAACGGCGCCGCCGCCGCCAACGGCAACAGCACCAGCAGCAGCAGCAACAGCAGCCACAGCGGCAGCAGCAACGGGCCCAACGGCTACGCCCTCGAGCACGGCCACGACGAGGAGGACGAGGAGGACGTGGACGACCTGCCGATCGAGCTGCGCCGCTTGGAGGACCCTCTGGGCGTCTCGCTGGGCGTCAGCGGCTGTCGGGGCTCCGATAAACGGGATCGGCTGCGACAGCAGAGCTCCGACAGCAGCGGCATGAGCGCCAAGTCCAAGAGCCTGAGCAGTCTGCACGTCGAGCTGCAGCGCAGCGACGACCTGGTGCGCTCGAGGTCGAGTCTGCCGCTGCCCACGAGCGGCCAGGCCTCCTTCGACGAGCAGCAGCAGCAGCAGCCCGATCAAGCCTCCAAGCCCAAATTGGTCAAGCAGAAGCAGCACCTCGCGTTCGACGATGCTTGCCTCGACGATCTACCCGAAGACACTGCCATTGACATTCGCCTGAGCGCTGCCGACGACGAGCAAAACTCCACCCTTCAGGTACGGCTGCTAACTTTTTCCAATGATTCTCGCCGAAACTAATCCTGCCTCGCATCTACTTTTAGGCGTCGTCCAGCAGCGGCATCTGCTCGTTATTATCGGCCTCCTTATCGGAGCTACCAAAGACGATATTGGTGTCCTCGTGCGAAGCCGAGCCAGCGGAGCAGCAGCAGCAACCGCAGCAACCGCAACTGCTCAATCCACTGAGAAACGTGTGCAAGCAGAGCTCCATGAACGAGGAGATCATGTCGTTCGAGCGGCTCAAGGAGCGCGAGAGCGTCCACCGGAATATCATGAAGCAGGCCTCGCTCAACGAGGAGCTCATCTACAACACCGAGAGGCGGCCCACCCTCGAAGCCCTGAGGGACAGCATCTACTCGGCCAGCGCCTCGAGGCGATTCCAACTCCTGAAAAGCGGCCTTACCAATCGCATAAGACAGTCGACGACCAACATCGAGAAGGTCTCGAGCGCGGCCATCAAGAATGCCTTTGTCGGAATACTCCAGGTAGGTCCCTACTCGCTTCATCGTTCTGACACATTGTCCCTGCGGCAGCAGCGCATCATCGTTGCTTTCCCTTTGACAGAGCTGGAAATCGACCGAAAGCCCGACGGCGACGCCATCGACCACGACCACGAGCGTCGCGAGTGCCATGAACAGCGCTAGCGCCGGCACTGGCCCGCTCGGCGCCGATCCGAACCGAGCCGCCTCGCAGCCGGACACGCCCTTGACGAGGCAGCCGATCGACTGCCCGATCGAGCGACGATTGTCGCGCGAGGATGGCTCGGACTCGTCCAAAGACTCGAGTCTGCAGAGCGACACGAGCGTCGACTCGGAGGACAGCTTCGCCTCGGTCATCTACGTGCCGAAAAAGTCGTCTTCGCCTCTGCTCGGCGGCGAGGCGGCCATGAACGCGTCGCCTCTGCCCTCGGCGGCGTCCAATTTGCAATTCATCGCCGCGTGCAGCGCAGCAGCCGCCAGCTGCTCCGTCTCGTCCTCGTCGGCGCCGCCCTCGCCCAGGCTCAAAGACGCCTCGCAGAGACTCAAGATGATGAACAGCGCTTGCTCGCCGCTGCTCAAGCAGCAGTTCCCGGCCACCTCCAAGAGCCTGCCGCCGACGAGCCCACCCGGCTTGTCGCCGAGGATGCTGAGTTTGGCCAACGCGAGGCCTTTTTTCCCCGGCAACGAGTCACCGCTCGCAGCGCCAGCCAGCGCCGCTCCTCACAGTTTGGCCGAGCGAGTCGCCGATATGAAGCGAAGCTTCGACGCGAGCCTGCCGCGCCAGCAGCTCTACAGTCGGCCGGAAATATTGCCGGTCAGGAGAATGAGTAGTCTCGGAGCTAACATGACATCCATGGCCAAAGTTACGAGCGACAAGTCGGATAAAAGCGAGCTTACTCGTGTGCAGATGACAATAAATAAAGAAACTACTATGGACATGCCAACAGAAATTAGTATAAAAAGAGATACGCCAGATTGGAAACAATCAGAAAATGTACAACCTCATCGGTCCAAAAGCAGTGAAGAAGGAGGAGGGGCGTCAGAGGGTGGTGCTGAAGAGGTGACTTCGAAAGCCAAAATAAACAACGACGAAAGCTCGGGAGAAACGAACGACAAGTCGAGCAATCGCTCCTTGACTAGCTGCAGCGAAGAAGAGGAAACACTCGGCAGTCGCAAGGCTCGACTGAACCAAATTAAAGAATTGCTCAAACAAAAGCCGGGATTCGCCGCGAGAACGAGACCGGCTTATCCTCTGGTGCGTCGAGCCTCGACGGCGAGCGGCAAAGCGTCCGAGGCCCAGGCCAACAGTAAACTCCTGCCGAGGCTCTTGTCGCTCGAGCTGTTCAACCCGGAGACCGACGACCTGGACAGCGACTCGTCGGGCCTGAGCTCGCCCGAGTCCTGCGGCAGCGTCATCAGCGTCGTCGGCGACAAGAAGAAGACGGCCAGTGCCTCGTCCAACAGCAGCGCCAGCGCCGACAAGCCCGACGACGCCAACTCGGACAAAGCCAGCCAGAAATCGACCTCGAGCGCCGACTCGGACTCCTTGGCGCAGGAATCGCGCGAGGATTCCTCGTCGCGACCGATCAACGTTTTGGCGAAATCCGACGACCAACGACTAGCCAAAAACGACATCGACAAAGCCATGGAAAATCTACTCCTCCAAAAGAACAAGGTCAAACTCGACACGGTAATTGCATTCTTTCCTTTTCTTTGCCTTGTAACGCTTGTAACGTAACACAAAGCAACGTTACAAGCGTTGGCTTGCGCACGTTGAAATAAATATTGAGTTTATTTAAATGGTATAATTGGTCGCGCAGAGTGGAATTGGCAGCAGATCGGGAGTCGGTGCTTTGGACAGGCACATATCGCCGATCGAGAGCACCTGGAACGAGGAGTGCAGCAGACAGCTCGAGGATCTGCGAGATCGTCTGGGCGAGAATCTGATCCAAGACATCGACCAGTTCTGTCGCATGAGCCAACTGGCCGACGCCGAGCACGATGGCCCTCTTGCCAAGTAAGTATGGGCAATCGATCGAATCCGAAATTCGATCCAACTCGATTACTCAACTGGGGTAAAATTGCAGGAAACAGACGAGGGCGACGAGGACGACGAAGCGGGCCGACAGCGATCACGACGCGACGAGTCTCAGCAGCGGCAGCGACAATCAGAGGGACGAGGGTGTCCAGCTGTCGCATCAACGCAGCTGCGGCAGCGAGACCGACTCGGCCTCGTTCGACGAGCCGCCGGCCACGACGAAGCTGCCGAGCGGCTCGCTCAGGTCGATCGGCGCCGGCAGCCCCCCGCCCCATCTGGGCCGCAAGCATCGGTCGATCGAGTCGAGCGACATCGGCGACTCGATCGAGCACACCATGAGCAGCGACAGCGAGTCGATCCGACGGAGCGGGGGCACCTCCTCGACCGCCAGCCTGGCCACCACCTCGTCGAGCTTCAACGAGATCGAGCGAGCGGCCAGAGCCAAACTGCCTACGGCGGTGGCGGCGGCGGCGGCGGCCCAGCTCGATCGAGGCCAGCAACAGCAGCAGCCCCGGCTCAAGACTCGACAGGAGCCGAGAAAGCAGCAGAAGCAGCTGAGCAGCAGCGCCAGTCGCAGATCGGCCACGAGCAACGACGGCACCCTCAGTGGCTCCAGTTCTCAGGAGTCCCTTCCCTCCGATCAGATGACTTATCATCAGTACTATCACGTGTTTCGCGAGGGCGAGCTCGATCAGCTGATCGACAAGTACGTGGAAAATTTACACGTCATATCCTCTTATTACGATCACGCGAGCTGGTGCATCGTCGCCGAAAAAGTACAAGTTTGGACCATATGACTCGTTGCGTTTCGCCACATGAATCTATATGTCTGTCTTACACCAAAGCCATACGTTCGACCAACAAATGTACTTAGTAAAAGGTCTCCTTCTTCGCCATCTTCAACCTCGATCATCCATCCTGAACATTCATGTTCATTTCAATCGACGAGCTTATACATCGGCAAATATACATTTCGCCATTCTATTAGTTTTGACAAGCTGTATCTTATACTTTCTATCCGCTGTAGCTTATCAGCTGTATCTTATACGCACTATCCGCGTGCCTATATTATTATATAATATATGCATAAATCATATTTGTCAAAGAGATACGCGTCGCCACAAAAATTCTTCGTTACCTCCACATATTTTATTTTTTTTACTCCATTTGCTGTGATATATATTTTATTGTTATAGAGAATTCATTATATATAAAAAAACCTTTTGTTATCATTCATTCAACGTTTACACAGGATGAGTGTTACATATGAACGTGAAGCGAAAAAAAAATTTTTTTCGCTCCACTCTAATATGTATGCAAAAATACATATTTTACGCATGTAAGTGAAAAGTGCAAAACAAAAAAATTCTTTTCATCATTACGTACGAAAATTCGAACAATTTATAACTTTTTATAAAATGATAAGAAATCTATTTATATGTTAAACTATGGAACAAAAATAAACTGTTTCCTCGTCAAGAATCGGAAAAATCGTCATTAATGTTGAAAAATCAGAATCTATGCATAAAATTCTGACTGATATAAAGGTATGGTAAAGAGAGAAAAAAATTGTTATATTAGTATTATGAAATAATTGGAAAATTTGAATATTACAAGGATTTTTAACACACTCAATCTCATGTGTTAAAAATGATTGTATGGAGAGTGCCACAAATAGATGTACTCAATGAAGATTTAAAAAGGTTGCAGTCTTATAAAGGTTCTGTATTTATTGTATCTCATCAATCTATTTACTGAAGAAACAATTTAATTATGTTATATTATCACAAAAAACATATCATTTAGAATAAAATACTATTGCTTTGACTAGAATGTAAAATATTTATTAATATCTGTGGACATCAGCACCAAATGACGTAAAAAAAAGCAAAAGCTCCAATACTTTCTTGTACATATGTAAAATAAATACGATAAAAATATATTAAATAAAGTAAATAGTAACAAATAATGCTCAGCAGCAGTAAAAAGCGCACATTTATATTTTTTTCAATATTATGTGGGTAGGTAGTTAATGAAAATTTTAATTTTTTGCAAAAAGCAAAAATATTCAATTATTTCAATATTTTACGACAATTCTCATGCGCTTTTATGATGTTAATGATGATAAATACTGCTGTATCTATTATATGTCTCAAATTATATTGCATTTATGCGTGTTATCTATAACTATGACTATTATACATATTTATAAAAAGTATTATAAGGTTGTTGTTGAAGAAAAATGTATTTGTTGAAGTGCAAAAATATTTTACGATTTTCCAAATTCAAAAGGTGATAAACTTGAAATTGATTTTCAAAAATGTTTGATACGATGTAGACATTGCCTTCTAAACAAGTTGTACAATTTTTTTATCAATGCATAATTTGAAAATAAATTATTAGAGAAATGTCAATAAAATGAACCAATATGACTACAGTTAAAATAAAGATGGTGTTTTTTTACTAATAGCTTAAAATCCAATTAGATGTATAAACTATTAGTGCCACGAACTAAAGCTTTGAAGAGTTTATGAAGTATGTCGAATAGTAGTTTTTATTGCAAAGACGATAGAACAGTCTTATAAGTAAATTCATTTTTCTAACGATTAAGTGTTTACATTACCAATTACTGCAAAGAAAAAGTATAACCCTGTAGAGAATCATCAGTTACTCACCTGCCAAAATAAAATGAACACAAATATTATAAATAATAAAACCACTCAGATATATAAGTAATTATCATTAAAAAAATGATTTACTTTCAAAATGAAACATACAATTGACCACAGCGAAAAAGTCAACTTCTGAATATTTCAAAATTATAAAAACGTTATCATTCTACAAATCTAAACAACACGTTGATTGCGAAACATGTTTTTTTATAATTTTTCAAACTAAAATTATTAATTAAGAAAATATGGATATTGTTAATGCTATGATGAAAAAAAAATAAAATTTTCAAAAACTTTTTTATAAGCAAAAAAATTAAATCGCGTGTAAATACATGTAATGAAGGTATTTCAATGATAGGACTACCATTTTATTAAAAATTTTTCATTGAATTTTTTCGAAAACTTTTCAAAAACACAGATTATGAAACTAATGAGCAGCTAATAGTTTAAAACGAGATTAAAAAAGAAAGGCCTCCACTCGGCATTTGGAAAAATAATCAGATAAAAATTTGCAGACAATATTCTAAAATCGTCATTTTACACACATCTTACTACCTTCTGAATATGCTCGGCTAGTAAATGAAACTTGTATTAATATGCAAAAATCAAAGTAAAGGATAAAGTCATGGTTAAATTGTTGTTCGAGCTAGAAAAATATACATTAAAATATTAAAGTATAGTTACGTGTAATTAATCATATCAATGATTAAGACAAGGATGAATTATTAATGGTATTGAAAATGTTTGAACACGATTTTTAAAATAATCTATTTTGAGTTGCCTATGAGAATAAATTTAAATGCAAAAAAGTTTATACGCGAGCCTTTATGATCAGGCTTATAAATTACTTGTATGAAAACCCCTGTCATATAAAATATAACAGATTTAACGTCTCGAATTGTGATACTTTTAACCAATAAGCGAGATTTAAACGATGTTGTGCAATGAGATAAGTTGTAAAAAGTCAAGCATTTATTGTGCAGAATATATTCGGGGCAAATTGTACTGAAAAATATGAATAAGTAACTGAGAAATACCAAGCTTTCTTTTTCATCTCTGAAAAAGATCTCTCATTATAGTAATATCATACACTTCTACCTTCCAATGACATATCAGTATTAAATGCTTTTGTTGTAAAATTCTATTATGAGAGTAATGCTAAAAAATATATGAAAAAATTAACGCTTAATTTGAAAAAAAAAAAAAAAAACAAATTATCGCTGCACAAATTTGACGATTGAGGCCCAGACCCCTTCACAAGTCTTGAATCATAAAATATATCTGAATATAAAAAATGACAAAGTATTATGATACTGACTCACACTCGTTATACTTGCATCAATATAATGGCAAATTACCTTGATGGACATTACTCTTCATCCCAAAATGATTCAAGCTTACTCATATTAAATGCTTATAAGATGAATTTATAAATTTGAAAACAATTAACGTGACAAATGATGCAGACTTGATGTATGTAATCATTGTAAAATATTTAAGACATGATAATTATTTCACAGATAATGACATGATACATAAATCATGGTAATGTGTTTGACAAGGCTCAAAACTATTATAGATTTTTTGATTCCAAGTATTGATGTTTAGAACAAATAATATAAACACAAATTCATTAAACGGTTTTTATATTCTGTTCATAGCAAAATAAAAGTCAAGTTTTATTTATAATATGAATTGTAATAATTATTACACAATATTATGAAAATATCATCAAAAGTAAGTATATAATCTTAAAATCGTTTATTTTGTAAAATCTGATAGACTTACTCATTGCGGTCAGCATAAGTATTATAATGAATATTATAAAATTTTTATTAAAAAATAAGTATTAAGCTTCCCAAGAAGCATTGCTCGCATAAGTTCAAGCTTTTGGTAAGTTCTGTTCTCCTTATCAATCTTTTCATAGTACTCAACTACTCTTATGCATTGCTGGATATTAATAAGCAAACACACTAAATGATTTAGCGTGATCTTATTATCATTTCACACAGATTTAAAGTTGTTTACATGATGTAAACGTAATAGCTTATAGAAATTTTTATTTTTGCCTGTCTAAAAGCTGCTAGAAAAAATTATCAATTCTTTTCAAATTGCAGTGAGAATTTATAGTTTTCAAAAAAAATTTAACAAGAATTAAATTCTTATAAGCTAAAAAATTTATCACAATGCATATATAAATATTTGTAATATATACATAAGAAATGATTCATATCAACCACAATCAAACATAAAATAAATTCAAACTAAACGCATACCACAAAATGAAGATGTAAAATAACTCAAAGATTTAAACACTTAAAAGATCTTTGTAACCATTTCAATTTAAGATTATTTGTTCAATTAAACATTTATTTCTGATTTATTTTTAACTTTTGACTTAAGTATAAAAAATTTAATAAATTTGCAAATTATCTTAAACTCACTATAAAAATTACTTAATTTGAATTTTGTTTTTCTGTTCATCATGATTGACGTGATTCAGCCCATATGTATAGAGTGTTTATACATTCTGTACACTAAATAAATCATCCACTCGAAAGTCACTCACATCAATAACAAGTTACTACTACTCGCGACGTAAATTTTCAAGACGAGCTTGAAGATCTGCATCGGCATCAGCAAGATCTTCGCCAGCTCCAGCAGCAGCAGCTACTGGTTGCTTTGAACCAGCTACACTTAAAGAACCTGATGCTTGTGGTAGTCCAGACAGCTGATCATTAAGCTGAAGACCTAATTCGTCTAAGACTTGTGAAACAACAGCATCGCTAAAAAAAATTAATATTGATAGTCATATGAATATTAGTTACTTCAATAACTCATCTAAGTAATTATCAAATTACCTTTCTTCCTCATCATCTTCATCTCCCATAGCATCATCAATGGCATCATTCATAATTTCCTCTTTCATGTCCATAATTTCAGATTGTTTTTCAAACTCTTGTAGAATTTTTTGAATTTGAGGAAGATTGAGTTGCCTAAAAATTTTTAAGCAAAGATTATTAGAAAAGCAATTGGAATTAAAATTGTGTAAAATAATATTAATCACTTATTCATATTCTGCATTGCTTTTGTAACCCCTTTCATAGCTTGAGCCATTGTATTTTGTGATCTCAGTGTTTGAATCTTCAGGGAAACTGCTTGTATATTAGCTTTCATTAGCATGAACTTTTTGACATAACGCCTGGTTCTTACAAGATCTTTTGCCATAATTTTAACAGCATCCTAAATTATCAAAAAGTATATCATTTAAGATAAGATATAAACTATTTAGGAGAATTATTCATTTATCTCTATTTTGTTTAATACAGATGAGTAAATATACCATTTGACCATCCTTAGCCATCTTTTTGATATCTTGAATAATTTTTTTCTCTTGTTGTTCCATTCTCATTCTCTCCCGATCAAGATCTCTCATGGCCTTATTAAGGGCTCTTTGATTTTTCCGCAGCATCTCCTCTGGAGTTACTCTTTTACCAAAAAGCCACTCCATCTTTCTTGTTTATAGCTAAAAAAAGGTATTGCTATTAATCAAACAAGTAACATTCAAATAGTACTTGAGCCCAACTAAAATGATATTTTAACTATGTACTACTGTCTCAATTTAAAAGTCACAGTTATTTTAACTGATATAATTTTTTTGAATTTTATCAATGATTAAATAACAGTACAGGTAAGAATTTGTCACGTTAGTTATCATTAACAGTATAATACCTTGAACATGACTCATTCTTACTTGTTTGATATTTTCCTTCAGTAGTCAACAACTATAAGTAATAATTCAGGTTAAAAATAATGTTCTTAATATTTTAAAATTAGTTTTCTTGAAAATTAAAATTTACATTTGGCAGAATACTTGATTTTTTAACACACACAAAACCTTCTTATGATGACACTCTTCACAAAATCAGTCTGATGAACACGTCAAAGACTAAACCTATAACTTTACGTACGCACAAGTCCGTATAGACACTATATTACATTCTGTTGTGTTTGTGATCGCTCGAGTATTTTGACCCCCACTCTTGCCTCGTGCAGAAGACAGAAGTCCGCTTCGACGATAAGTCAGTTTCAGTTAGTGCGTCTTTAATTTTTTGGTTAAACTTAAAAGTTTATGAAAAAAACATATAACTTTTAGTACATATAAAAAATTGGATTCTGATACCTACTATTTGAAATATATTCTTGTGAAAATATCATTGTTTCTGAAAACGAAAAGCTTAATTTTGTGTTGTGTTTACAACGATTATCTAGGATGAATATGTGAACAAGCTTGTGATGTATTTTAGTTTTTTTACACTTTTCGTCAATAATAAATAATCATCATGTCTGGAAAAGGTAAACAAAATTCAAAAAAAGCCATGGTTAAATCTGGTACCTCTCGAGAGAGTGGAGGTAAACTGTCTCAACAGTTGCAACAACCAAGTACTCCTTTGGCAACAGATCATTCCAGTTCTGACAGTTCAGAAGCTACAATAACATTACCTGTTATTAAGATGATAGACAACAGTAAACTTCTTCCACGTTATACCAGCATTCTTGAGCGAACTGCTGAAGAAGGAATCACTATGGAAGATTTGGATATACTACAAAATGAATTAGAAACATTATTATCGGCTACTGTTGTGCGTTCTAGGCTGATAAATGAAGAAATCATCAATCTCAATGTTTCAGAAGAAAAAAGGGACAAAAGATCAAAGGCTAGTAAAAGTTTAACTTTGGTTGATAAAAAATCAAGAGATGAAAAACTCAAACCCAAAGAACTTGGTTTAAAGTCACATTCACCATTACCTACAAAGTTGATGAAACAGAGAGCTGCTGGCAGTTCAGCTACTCAAGTAGTACCAAATCCTCATGAAATTGTAAGAGTAGAAGGTTCTAAGTTGGATGGGAAATCTTTACTACCAAAAAATGACACTTTAAATAAATTTTGGGCTTCGGTCGAACCATATTGTGGTGATATTACATCAGAAGATATAAAATTATTGCAAGATCTCATTGCTCATCATAGTGATCTTGGGGAATTTAAAAAAATTCCGCCTCTTGGCAGGCATTACACTATGGTGTGGGCTGAACAAGAACTCATGCAAGAGGAAGAAGCAGGAAGAGATCCCAATAATACAGAAAAGAAAAAACAGAGTGATGTGACTCGACTGCTGTCAAAAGTGGACAAAAAAAGTAATGGTATGAATAAATTTTTAAATGAGATGATCATTTCTTATAATTTTCAAAAAATGTTATAACTATTTTATTTTTTTATAGGAATATCAGGACCTTTAACTCAAAGACTTGTATCTGCTCTACTAGAAGAAAATGTTTATGTGGCAAATAATAATGCAGATAATAAATTATTCAGAGATGGCGATCCCCCAGTATTACGTGATTTATCTATTCAAAATTCAATGAATCTGGAAATGCGGATGCATAAAGAATTGGTTGAACAAGGTATTCTTGATGCTGAACCCCAAAAAAAAAATCCAGAAGAAGATGAAATTCTTATGGAAATTAAAAGATGCCAGAGAGAATTAATAGCATTGTCTAGTCACAATGAACAACAATTAAAAAAACTGTTACATCACGCTAAAGATGAATGCAAAAGACAAGAACTAAAACGTAAAATATCAACTGTTGACAATGAAGTTGTAGAAAATTATACAAAACTTGTTGCAGCAAAACAAAGAAAAGTACCACTGACTAAAAAAGATCAAGAAAAGGCATGGGCCAGTCTCAAAGAAAGAGAACAACTTTTAGAACAATTGAATTCTATGCCTCCAAATGATATTGGAGAACCTGTAGTAGTAAAACCTAATCTTGATACTCAATGTTAGTGTTTTCACAATATAGTGCCACTTAAATATCAATTAATTATTATCAAATTTGATTTTATTTGGTTCACTAAAATATTAATGTACATTTGTAATAAGATTCTTATTGTAGATTTTGAATAATGAGCTATATCTAATGATTGCAATGAACATTCATTGTCAAAAATTAAAAAATAACATTTTTCATAAACTACTTTGCATTTTTTGAGTTAAAAAAATGTCTATTCCTAGTTTTAAATACGCACTGAACTAAATCTTTCTAGTCTGTGCTAAGAGTTATATGAAAAAAGTATTTCATGTACTAAAAGTGAATCATAAATCATTCACTTCAAATGAAAGTTTCATTTTTATATAATGCTAATAAAATGAAACATGTATATTTTTGACACTTAATAATTTTGGCCAATTTGAGATCAATGTTAATTTGCTTACATACTCCCAAATGACGCATTTTTTTACTGCAAGGTATTATGAGTAACGCAGTATGTATTAAAAATTAGGCATTTTAGAATTTATGTTTTTTTATAAATGAAGAAAATTCAGATTATGAAATAAAAATAATAACTTCAAAATGAATGGATAACTTTCTCAATCTATATTTTCCTACTTATTTTACTACTTACAAGTAGTATGCTGTTAAAAAAATTTACATGAAACTTTATATGTTATTCAATCAAATATATTCAGAATTGCATTATACTAAGACTAAAATAAAACGAAATTTTTTTTTAAATTATTTTAATGCAACCCCTGTTTAAAAAAAATCGCTGGATTCCCAATTGGAAAATCTAGCAGGATTGGACTGGAAATCGAACTCGATTCGACTAGAAATCGAGCTGTATTTGACTAGAAATCTAGCTCGATTTTTTACTGGAAATCCAGCTCGATTTTCGATCCGAAATCCAGCTCGATTTTTAAACTGAAATCTAGCTTGATTTTTGACTAGAAATTTAGCTCGATTTTGGACTGGAAATCGATCGATTTCAGATCAAAAATCAAACTAGATTTAAGGCCAAAATTCGAGCTGGATTTTCAAAACTCGAGCTAGATTTCAGATCGAAAATCGAGCTGGATTTCCAGTCAAAAATCGAGCTAGATTTCCAGTCAAATACAGCTCGATTTCTAGTTAAATCGAGTTCGATTTCCAGTCATATCCTGCTCGATTTTTCAACTGGAAATCCAGTGATTTTTTTTAAACAGGGACATATGATAAAAAATTATTTATCTATTAAACTATGGTACTCAAATTGTGCCGGTAATGTTATTATTAATCTTGAGTTATACTATGACATTATTATAAAAACATCAACAATTTTGACATTTAATTTTCTTTTATTTATTTATTTATTATTTTTTTTTTAAATAAAAAGCTCATTATAGGTGTCTAGAATGATGCCAATGTGGTTTTGTAGAGTAAGAATATTTTTATGATGTTTTATTTTTAATTTTTCTATTCAGTTGTATACAAGAAACAAATGGGTAAGAAAAACTTTAGACACGTTTTACTCAGAACAACATTTTTCTGCACTATTGGAAGAAAATTTCGGAGAGTACTGTATGGATTGAGCTGAAATTGTGACTGAAGGTTCAAAATAACATTTTCAACAGAAGTGTTCGTAGCCGTTTTTCAATTAGTAAATTATTTTTAAAATTTTTATAAACAATTTACAGTGAAATTTTTTGACTAAGATCGAATTTTTTGGAAAGCGGCCATTTTCACAATTTCCACTTTTGGGTTAAAATCGTAGATACTTCCCGCTAGAAAAAGCATTCAACTTTAAGAGGTTTTTTTTTTGTTCTAGATGACCTAGGATCCGAGAAATGTTACCGGTAGTGAAAAAATCGTTTTTTGTAAATTTACGATCTATCCTTCCAATTCTGTTAAAATCAATAAAAAAATTTTGGGAAGTACTTCAAGACATATGTTATTAATCCCCAAAGACTCACATTAAAATATTTTTGTGGCCCCACGAAAAATTCGAGAATTTCAGCTTTATCCAAAAATTCTACAGCGGTGTTTCCCCTTGAAAATTTCGTAAGTCCCGAAAATATTATCGTTTGGGTGATTTATTTTTACTAATGAACGAATTTAATAAGTTCATTAAACAATAGTTAAATTAATAACTAAACGAATGATATGAGGATAATGAATAATTAATACAAATTTATATATCTCACGACAAAGATGTTTATTTGATATCACTGTACAGATTCTTCGCCAAGAGTTACCTCAACAACGTGCGACAAATAGCACAACAACAATCAATCGCTCGGTTAACAAAAACAAAAAAAATCACATTATAATGAATAAAACAAATTTCCTGCCTTACACTTGTGGCATTTGCATTGGGGATGTTTTTAAAGTATGCATTTATAATTATCGTAATGCGTTACATGCGTGCGCGAAATAGTGGGGTATGCTTTTATTCTGTCGTTCTTGATACTTTTTTTCGGTAACCTCTTTTTCTATTAATAATTGGTTTACAAGATTTCATAACAATGTGAGATATGCTACACCTAGCAGTGAGTCCATGATGTATTTAATGGTATCTAGTCAAGTGAGCTGTCTAGTAGTATCTGGAGATAATGTCAATAGTAAATGGTCAAGATCTTTTTCGTGTACGTGTACGCCTCGATGTTGCGACATTAAGACTCCTCCTTACTAAAATAGCACAAGTCACTGATTCCCATAAGAGACAAACCCATATTTATATAATATAACGATTTTTAAATTTTAACGTTTCGTGTACAGTGACGAAAAGCCGATATTATTAATGCAAAGTAAAGCCTTTCATTGATCATAATTTTCCATCACTGTAGAGAACTAAGCCTCTATCACTTTGATCAATCATATCAGGCTCCAACAAATTTACTGTTATGAAAGAAAAGTTTGAATTCCCCATGTGTGGTAGCAGGTATTGTCTCTGCATCCATGACTACAGTAGATAAGAGTAGAAATGTATGATGCTCAACCTCACTTATAAAATTTTAATGTTCATTTGTCATTTCTCAGGATGATATTGAGAACAGATGTTATTGCAATGTACATGTTATACAAATGGAAAACTCTTTACTGCAGGCTTTTTTTCCAAGCCCATAAGTAATGTTATAATTTATAAACACATTAATTAATTTTTAAGTTACTCATTTCTATCAAGGTTCTCAAATTTCTTAGTAATTTGATGAAAATTCAAATTTATTACCTAGGTGTATAGGTGTAACCAAAACTTCCCAAGTTTTTTTAACAAATTAATTGCACATGTTTACACTGATGCAAATGTATTGTACATTCAAATAAAAAATCTGGAACACCTAAATGTAATAAAATCTTGGATAACTTTTTTTAGAGCAGATCTTAAAAAATTGAGTATTAGATTTATATAACATGCGGCAAGTCAATAATTTATTTAGGAAACTTTAAAGCAAAGGATATGAGGTAAAAATGGCATGGATGGATTTCATACCAGTACAAACAAATGGTGTTACCCATTTAGGAACATAAAAACTTCCTAAATTTATTTGGAGACTTAAAGTTAAAATTTATTAACATATCTCAATTTTAGCTTTAAAACATGGGTTTGTCCCCTCAATATTATCATGGACTGTACCGCATTACCATAAACAGCAATCACAAACCCTAATTCAAGATCAATGATAGCTGTTTTGGCAGTGACGCACTAGAACTATTTGTATTTTTTTAAATGATTCATGGCTTAGAAGGCGAAGAGGAGCAGGAAAGCCATCATAAGACAGAAGAGACCCATGGCCTCTGACAGGGCAAAGCCCAGAATGGCGTATGAGAAGAGCTGTTGCTTAAGTGATGGATTCCTGGCATAACCAATGATGAGCGATCCAAAGACAGATCCGATACCAGCACCTGTAAAAATATGATGTATTATTATTATATTATATCATTACAATTGCTGTGAAAAATTAAGTAAAAAAAAATTTTTTAAAGAATTAGTATTTAGGATAAAGGATAATAAATAATAAATGAATGAAGGATATTAGTTACTCCTATATATATGAGGAAGGAATTCAAACAGGAATGGTCGTGATGATAAAATGAATCAGAAGGCAAATAACATGATGAAGGCCATCATTAGACAAAATAATCCCATAGCTTCTGACAAGGCAAAACCAAGGATTGCATAGGCAAAGAGTTGTTGTTTGAGGGAAGGATTTCTTGAATAACCAATTATTAAACCTCCAAAGACTAAACCTACTCCAATACCTGAAAATGAGAGAAAAGACAAGGGAATGGTGATAAGATAGGAAGTATAAAAGCAAGGTATCACATAGTATGCGTTAGAGTAAAATTTACAGGTTATATAAGTATTGCATAATCAGTATGTAAGGAACCTGTTAATTTATGTTCATCTGTTATTAATGATAAATTAAAAAATTGATTAAAAGGAGATCAATTGTTTAGTTTTATAATATCTTACCGGATCCTGCAACTCCAACAGTGGCAGCACCAGCACCAATGAATTTGGCTGCAGAGTCGATGTCACGACTGATCGTGGATGTTTGGAAGTTACGAACCAATGGGGACTGCAATGAGCATAACATCATTTTAGTTCATATTACAAGAAATTCTGATAACTACAAGCTAATTGGTGAATTTAATTTTCACTACTACCCTTACATAACCCTCACAAAGTTATGCAATAAAAAAAAGTAGCATTCTAAACTTTAACTGAAAAAATATTGTAGAAATCATTGTCAACTTACCAGACTGACCACTGGTGTCTGTTGTTTCTGTTTTTGGAAAGTCTGGCTCTGTTGGAGAACCGCGCTGCTCAGAGGCCTGACGTAGGCCTTTGTACCAGCAACCAGCTGAAAAATATTAGTTAAAAGATCAATTGACGTTTAACTATTTCAGGACAATTTTTATGGAAAAAAGTTCAAAGTGTCATCATTACATAACGACCAAAATGATAGAATGGACATTAGGCTACAAAATGAATACCATGTTAGTAGATTAAAAGTTATGGAAAAACTTACGGTGGACCTGGCAACGGCGGGGGCGATCAATCGGCTGCAAGCGAACATGTTGACTTAGAAGGTTGGCTTCGTACTTCCTTTGGAATAAACCTGAAACAAGTAAATTCTATAAGTCTCGAGTCAGAATGCTTATGTGAGCGTAACCCTTTTAAACGTTCGTTCTCACAGTCTTGCTCGCTCACACGTACACACGCACACATACATACAAGGTCACAGAGTTACGCGATTAAAGTCTAATAAAACGCGACCTAATTATCCGGACGAAATTATCCGTAGGTGCAACTAAATGAAAAGAAAAGATTTGTCGGAAATAAACGACGAGCAGAAACGAAGCAGCTTTAGAAGTCAGGCAAAGAGTCACACAGTCACACACTAATTCACTCAAGCTTGGAAGGTTACGTAACGAGAACGAATTTCTATACGGGAGCACGGGTCGAACGAGGGTCGTTCCTTGGGCTCTTTACCGAACTTTGCAAATGTCGAACCACACCCGGGTAATATGGGACGGAAAGAGCAGTGCAGAATCAGCAGCAGCGTAAGGCCGAAAAAAGTCTCGCGACGCGTTAGTCCACGTAAAGAGAGCCTTTTCTAGACGACGATGGATACTTACGCACGCGCGGGTGATATCTTCAACAGAGTGTGCACACCGGTGTGATGTGTGTCGTGTGCGGCTGCTGCGCTGCTGCTGCTAAGCAAAAGGCGCCTCGAAGAGAGAGAGAAAATGGCCGCTTATAGCAAAGAGCAGGCAGTCGCAGCAGTACGTATATTCCATATACATAGGTGATAGACTAGCACGAGAGGCGGAGTGCGAGCGCGCGCACCCGGCGCCACTATCGTCACTATAGAGACTCTATTTTGCAATTTACTCGATGAAAAGCCACCAAATAAATTTTGTTAACATTGAAAATGCAATCGGTATCCATGAATTTTCGCAATGGGATTTCGCTGGACGGCAAAAGAGCTCATGGAGCCAAATGAATCCGCCTACAGAGAAACTTAATTAACTAGTGGCTACTCGACGAATAACTCATCGTCTCGTGATCTGGCGAATCAGCAAATGGCTGAATGAATGATCGAGATGGACCCTACATTCGCGAATTATTGATACATATTGAAGCTTTTAAACATTAACAATTGCACCTAGTCGACATACCTATCATGAACTGAACGTGTTTAATATTTGCGCTGGGAGTACTTGATATGCCAAACAAGTTTACTATTATATTGAAAAAATTGACTCTGTGACGTGCATAAAAACATGATTTTATGAATTAGAACCGAAAGTAATTGTTTATAATCGATAACACAGTGCAAGCCCAGAATCAACTGTAGTTGAAATGAACATGATAGCTGAGGGCAACAGCCTTCGTTTGCCTTCAAAAATTCAACATTCAACGGGTTTCATGATACTTATAACATTGATTTCTAACGAATATTAGTAAAATATTACAAGATCATCAGATTCACTTGAACGAGTAGACAATTAACATGACATTTTACATAAACGACTAGTTAAATTTAATGGGATTCATTCATCGGTTTTATCGATGGTTCATTGGCAAAGAGCAGAAGATAAAAAAATAGGCAGATGAGACACGTAGGTCGGCAAGACAGACAAAATTATCGATTATTTTCGTACGCTGAAAGATATAAGTACGGGCGGTTATGTGGTCAATGCGACAAAACGCCGTCTTGCCAACGTGTTATGTGGTAATAGCTAGTTGCCTCGACATCACATGCAAAGACACGAGGTGGACAAATAAATTTTTCCTACGATTAGAGCGACTTTTCACAATGCCCAAAAGATCACCATGCTCCGGAAAATGGAGATGATCGGTCTGACGCTACGGACAGAAATAAATGATACGTCCTATTTAAGAGCAGCGTGTCAAAGAAGCGAAGTTAACTTCTGTTGGGAACGATCATTGCAGCCGCACAGGCGATGGAAGAAGCGCAAGTTCTAACCTACAAGACAATTGATTTTGCCCTGTCTACTTGCTCGTTGGCTTTAGCATGCCATACTGGTTATGCTACTACACTTTAAGCGACACGTCGGTCATTTTCGTGCATTCGGGGCGTGTGTAACTGCACAAACAAATTGATAATTTGCAACTTTTTGTTGGTGAAAACGGGTACTTACTTCGAGTGTTTTTCCTATTTAATAGGCTAAACTTGAACTGGTCTTGGAATGTAGTTAAAAAAATCGCTGTGCAGAACTGCGGCGCGAGCGGGCATACGAGGTAGGTATACGAATAACGGAGCAGTGTCGCTTCAAGCAGTCGGAGTTTCAACGAATGGGGGAATATAGTAAGAGTGGGGCTTCTTGGAGTTCTCAGGGGAAATACGCGTACCTACTCGATGCGCAGATGCTAAACCAAAGCACAAAGCCACAATGCTGACTGCACGCTGACGGACTGTGCAGTCGCACTTTGTGCTTTTCTGCAATTTGCATCGAGCCGCATGGCATTAATTGACAGCTGTCAGCCTGACATTATTGACCGCTGCAGTGACTAGCTTCTCTGGTCCGGCTTAGCAGTGATTATGAGGTAGCATTGACGCTTTGAACTCATGACAATCACATTTACTCGCAGCACCCAACGGTCACTTTTTTATCCTATGGCATTTCAGCTACGTACGAATTTTCGCTCAACTATTCCTAATTCCATTTAAATTTAAAATTTCGAGAGGTAATAGTAGTCTGGATTAAGAATTATAACTTTAAAGGTGCGTGCATGTCGTCTGCTCTGGTCAGTGACACTTTAGCTCGGTATCTATACTCGCGCGTTACTCGCTAGAAATATGAAAAGGCAGCTGCAAACGAACTGCGAACGATTTGAAATTCCAAAACTATACATATACTATTACTTTAATTATTTTACTATTTACATCGAAGGGAAACAATTGCTTGTGTAATTATCCTAGTAAGTGTTGAGAAATTGGTTGCGGTATAATAATTATAAAATGATTAAATGCAATGTAAGATAAGGTTATTCAGCATTCGACTGGTGAATAAGTGACAAGGGAGAAAAGTAACGCAACAGTTTTAATTTTCTAATCGTAAAATGGTTATGAATTGATAAGACAATTGATAAAAAAAATGCTGCAATTGAAGAAGCCGCTTGAATCGGAGCGCTCACAGTAGATCGACGAGAGTAAAAATTAAAGTTACGCAACGAGTTCGCAGAGTCGTTGCCGAACTGCGAGATCACGAGGCTTTATACCGAGACAAACGTCGAGCATACCGCGCGAGCCACGAGGACCACGAGGTAGAGCGACTCCCGGATATCGATGGGCTGGCGCGATTCAAGCTCTCTGCGACTCGTGCGAAGCTCGCAACGAGTGCGCGCAGCTGGCGACCGAGGAGCTTTTATCGACCAACCGAATTTAGCCGAGCGCAACCTATAGCCAACCTCATATGTATACGTATATACGCCTTTAAAGAGGGAGAGAGAGGGACGGAAAACTGCGCTACGCGCGCTAAGATGCACGTTCAACGGCACTCTACTCGCGGATAGCTGTTTGCATGACCGAATATTGACTATATAGAATCGTAACGAATTGTGCGAGCTGTGCCATGTCGGCTCGCTTCTGGCCTCTTCCAGAATCCCCTGGGTACCTAGAAATATAAGCATCATTATCCTCTCTATAATGCCGCAGTCGAGTTAAATTCTGAAACCTGATAAAAATTGATGCTGTACGAGAGATGACGCAGGATGCACGGACGCTTAATTTGATCCGGGATATAGCTTTCATTCGGACTATGATTAATTCTAAGTTGACATTAAAAAATTACGGAACGAATCCATCTTGCCGCACATCGCAGGCATCGCACACAATCTTATACTAATAATGATAAATAATAGTAGCTGTATACATATTTCATGTGTAGATGCAAGTTTGTCAAAAATAGTGCTGGAGTTGCCGAAGCAGCCGACAATCTATATGCCAACAATCGAGTCGATAGATACGGAGTCGCCGATACACGAGTTCCGATTGTCACCGATTGCCTGATTACGTCCCATAGAAACGCGCAGGGATATTCTTATCCGACTCGAAGCTCAAGTTGATTGTGTTTTTTCATTGGACCAATTCACATACCATATAAAATCAGTTATAATGATGATCGGTCGCTGTAAAAGCGATCCTGTAGGCTCATCTGTCTTTAAATCCACGAATCTTAGTTTCTCTGCTTGATTTTAAGCTGATCCATAGAGCCTTTAGCGGGTGCTAGGACGATGGATTACCCAACTCACAACTCAGTTGGCATCCATAATTCCGTTGCTGGTTTCATCGCCCGAGATTTATATTTATTTATCCGTAAAACAGCAACGAATGCCCATTTCAAATGGAAATTGACCCAAATGGATAGTCTGATTGAATGTCTATTTGGCCACGAGCTGCACAAGCTGCGATGAGCAGTATACAGCTGAGCCTGGACACATCATCATTATGGTGCGTGGGCCTGCATGGCATTACGAGGCAAGCACACAGGTACACTGCATATGTTAGCTGTATCTATACATATATTTATAGGCATACAAGAGGCATGAGCAGCGCAGCGAGAGCATACATATATGTATATAGAGCAGAGAATAAGCAGCTGGCGGCGCGTCGGCCATCCGTCACAGCAATAGCAGCTCAGAGAGTTGTCGCGGCTGATTGCAGAGGCCGCGAGCGAGAGTCGACTCACGACTGAGCCGAGCCTCAGCGCCGAAGCGAACCGAGCCAGCGTGTTAGTGTGTAAGTGTATTCGGCGTGTGTGCGCACTGCGTTACGTACTGCTGCGAGCGAGAAAGAGAGAAGCAGAGCCGTGCGCCGCTACTGCTCTACACAGCACCGCAGTCCACCGTGAAAAAGCTCGTGCAAGTTATATCCTGTGCGTGTACTCGACGCACAGAGCTGCACGAGAATAAAGCGTTGCCGATGCCGCCGCGGCTGCTGCAGCTACGACTGGCCAATATGCAATGCAACGGGGTGCATTAGACTCTCTCGTGAAAAGCTCGACTGAAAATACACGAGGAGCTGCTGCTCGTGCGGCTCGTGGCTCGTGGCTCGTGGCTCGTGCGCGAGTGCGTGTGCGTGTGTGCGTGTGAGAGAGAGAGTGACTACCGACTACTATAGTGAGTGCGTGAGTGGGATCATCGTGCGCCAGCCGCCAGCGTGTTCGCTGTTTAGCTGTTTCATTTGGTCTTGCCTATTGGTTAGTGGCACTTGGCATTTGGACGCGCGACTTGCTCCGGCTCGTGCGACGACCTGAGCCGTGCCGCCGCCGCCGTCGACGCCGACGCCGAGCCTCGTGGTCCGTCTCTGACACTCGCGCACAAAGTTAATTTAGCGCTGCGAGGCCCAAGGAAACGACACCTCGTTCGTGTAAGGCTTTCGTGCGCCCACACCTGCATCGTCGTCGTTGTCGTCTCTGCGTGAGCAGCCGGGACTGGCGTGCGGCTGCGGTGAGCAGACACCCGACGCGACAGGCGGCCACCTACCTACTTGGACTATTACTTGCATTTACGCTTGTGCATTGCCATGGCCGTATTCATGCTCAATATCTGTAAATTCAACTCTTGCGGCTTGACTTTCGGCACGCTAGGTCATCTCATCCAACACATCGAAGAGACTCATATCGGTATGTCTATCATACGTGCGTATAACGTACTCTCAATTTTGTTTATTTTTCCACGCGACTGCGGCGAGTTTTGACTCTCTGACATTCCTTGACGCAGTCGTGTAACTCGCGCTCGTTACTTATCGAAAGCCGTTTTACTCTGTCATTCATAATATTGTCAATTTTTTGCACGTTTTTTCATCGCCTCGCCTCCAAAGAGCGGAAGAAAGAGCCGATGGCGGCGATAATCGCCGCCGCACGTTGTCATGGTGACGAATTATTATACAGTTCTTTCACGCTTCGGCAGGTCTTGACTGGTCGAACCGCGAGCCCTTTACACGATTCTTGAATGTTGTATGCAGCGAGTGGCACAAGTCGCGAACTCGAGGCTTTTAAAAGTACCCCGAAATATAGTTCTTGACAATTGTCAATTGTCGAAGGGACCCGGCAAGTGTCTTTCTCGCGAGACATCGCTCACTCCGTCTACTTATCCAATGCACGATTTCCATCGTCGTTGTTTCGCTCGACGCGCTTACATTTCGTCTGCATGAATACTTATGAGCCATTCGAGTCGTATCTACATGTGCGTTCTACGAAGCGTAACGTATATGTTACGGCATACAACACGGGACGCTTAAATCGACCTCTCCAACATTTTCGCATGTACATTTTTGCATCGTGGGTCATGCGCGACACGTCCCAAAAATCAACAACTCGATATCACTACGCGCTGGTCTGAGCCCTAGATTTTTTCTAATAGTTAGCGATTACACTTACAAGTAACTTGGAGGCATTCGAGTTAATCTGTTACGAGTATACATCCGTCATGCTTAAATTCGATTATCGAGCATCGTCTCTTCAAGTGCTCCTGAGCATTTCTCCACCCTTGCGCGTTTTTCCGTCAGCGATTCTTGATAATAACTTTATCAATATGTATTCTATCAAACGCGTAATCAGTTTCGTCCGCAGAGCATAGGTTCGCGCGCCTACAACACCGTGTTGCATATAGAAGCGTAATTGGAGGTTTCGGCTCGCGAGTCAATGACCCATCTGGTCAGTCTTAAAAAAAGCGTCTCTTTTAATAAGGAGGTTCGATAGTAAACTTCATGTCTTTAGAAACGCCTGAAACTTTTTTATTTCAATCTTTGATAAGAAATGAATGCACTGTTAAAATCTTAGATTGATCTACAATCTAGTTTTCGAGAAAAAAAAAATCAAAAACGACGTCTTATACATGGGTCTTATGGGGAAAGTTACAACAATGTCACAAAAAAAGCATTATGCAAACGAATTAGACTTAAGAAATGAAAAAAAAACTATTTTTTAGAAAGCCAAGAAGGTATTGATCATTTTGAAAAAAAAAACGACTCGTTTTACAACACCGAATGCTCAATAAACAAGTCTAAAAAAGTGAGATTCTGAGCCACGCGAGCCGAAATGTCGCGTTTTTACACGTTCATCGCTGTATTTCAGCTAGTAAAAATAAAATGTACTCTATGGAAAATATGTATTTCGATGGGAAATTTCCTCAGCTTTCGATTGAGACTACTTTGAAAAATCTTAAAAATGCGTTTTTTGAGATATTTAATGTTAAAAGTTTATTTTTACAATTTTCCGTAGAAAATGGAAAATTTTTGAAAATCTGACTTCATCATCGGAAAGCTGAGGAAATTTCCAATCGAAATCATATGTCACATATTTTTTTTAAGTGCGTTTAGGGGGTTTTTCAGCGAGATAGAAGTTAAGCAGTTTCGCCTATAAGGGCCGTGCGGCCGCTGCATGCTGTTTTGCTTATAATATTTTGTTCCCATGAGTTGGTATCACTACATCGTGCCCGTGTATAAGCATAGGCGACCCCCTCGCCCCGCCTGCCCCTTGAAAGTGCTATCGAACCTCCTTAAATGTCATCCACTGCTGCAGCAACGAGCTCTCGAGCTCTCGTCTGCTGCGGCACGCGCGCCACTCTGCGCTCTCGCGATCAACTTAGCGCTACAAAACTGTCAGCCCGATAATTAATGCAATTTTAATCGATTTCACGCTGGAGCAGACAATGACCCACAAGTGCTGGAGCGCCAGGAGCGGGCACAGCCAGCCTGCGTGCCACTCAGCTACGTTTTGCGCTTCCTCACCGACGCGGCCAGACGGGAGAACGCCCTGACGGCGGTGGCGGCTCAGCAAGCCTCCAAGGCCCTCTCGGTGAGCTCGCTCGGCTCCTCCTCGACGTCGTCCTGTTTGTCTTCGGCGAGCTACGCGGCTTCCGGAACACTCGGCAATCCGCAGCAGCTTCAGCAACCACAGACGCAGCATCTTCTTCTACAGCAGCAGCTCCAACAGCCAAGCCAGCTTCATGCGCAGCAGCAGCAGCAGCAGCAGCCCCCCCAGAGGATGGTAAAAACCCTCGTGCCTGCATCAGGTAATAAACCCCCGGCGCGCTTGCAACGGACCAATAGCAAAGCTGCTAACGCGCAGCCATCTCGCCGGGAAACGTAATTTTATCTACTTGACGACTCTACGATACAAATAAGCCGATCGATCGATAGATCCATCTTTCTATCTTTATAGACGAATAACAAACTCTATAGGTGACAAATTACCATCTCTTTTACATGCAACAAGCAACAATTTTTATGTATATACGACGACTATATATTATATATTATATATATAATTATATATACACACATTTTCAAACGATTGACGAATGACGATGAAAAAATTCAATTGACGCGTGTGTGTGTTTGCATGCCAAGTCAGATCATTTTATTCAAGCCTTTTGTATTTATTATTATCATCTATCCTCATTGCTACTCCAAATTCCCATACTTTTTTTTCAATTTTTGTAAATCATTGTACAATTAGGCATCAGTAATGCTACAGCTGGAGCTAGTGACGATGATGAAGATGACGCTGACAACAATGAAGATGACGACGATGACGATGAAGACGATGAGGACATGATTGAATGCGACGACGAGGATGACGACGACGAAGAAGAAGATGATGAAGTCGAGGATTGCGCGAGCAACGATTCCTGGATAACGGCTCGAAGTAACTTCGAACGCAGCGTTGAGCAGCGCCAACACTTTCAACACAACGATTACACTTCGAGCAGCATGAGATACAATCCTACAGTGGCTAAGTGAGAGACTGACTTTTTTATATGCTTCATTTTGCTTTATCACTTTTTTTTCTTTCTTCATTTCTGCACTGAATCATTAGCCTTATTATTTTACATAAAAAATATATTGCACCACACCACATATGATATGGACACTGAGGATATCTCTCCGTATCTGAACATATTCTGGCACTATGCTATCCAAGATATGCGCAATATCTAGTATGAAGTTGATACTATCTCGACTCTTTGTACTCGAGATGTTTTTTATATTATCTTGTTAAAAGCATAAATCTAATAGATGTTAACTATAAATTTTGGCTTGAATTTTTTCTCATCCGATGTATTTTGTGAATGATTACAGAAACAACTATCAGTACCAGCAGCATTTGCAGCAACATCAAACCACGAAAGACGACAGCAGGCCATTTGCGTGTCCAGTACCAGGATGTAAAAAGCGCTACAAAAACGTTAACGGCATCAAGTATCACACAAAAAATGGACACAAAAATGACAAGCTGCTTGTGGCCAATTTGCAGCATCAAAAGTTGCAGCAGCATTTAATCAACAAAGCCTCACAAGCTCGCAACCATTCTAATGTTTCTAGTCACTTTCACAGTAGCGCTAATAACAATACTAGCAATAAGTTATTCAAATGTGGCTGTGGTAAAAGCTACAAAACGCCTTATGGGCTGAAGAATCACATGGCCGTTAGGCACAATATAGTACAGGATCAAAACAAATCAAGTTATCATTATTCACAGACTTTAGTTACCAACAATTCGATACCATCTGCTATTCAAGATCACGGCTACATCAAACAGCAAGAGCCCCAAGGGCTCGAGTGCGACGCTAATCTTGGCGTACTCACGCCCGCTCCTAGCCCTGGTTCACTCAATCATCACATCAAATACTCCGACATGACATCTTGATGCCTATGAACATTATCATTTTCATCGTCATGTTGCCATTAAATTTATTTATTTCCATTACAATGATAATTATGTAATTTTTTTTCTTTTACTGTTGTTATTTGTGCATTTTCAAGTACACACACACACACACACACACACACGTACTATTTTGCTCGCTCTCAAGGTATTTGCTAAATGAATACAATCGTTCGCCGGTGTATTATCATAATTGTGCAGTGACTGAAAATATGAAAAATATAAGATTATTGATATTCTTAGATTTATTATAAATATAGCATTATATATTATGTAAATCCAATTGTAAAACCAATGCAATTATTAATTATCTATCAATCAATTTCTTTATTTACTATCATCAATACTTAATATTATAAATGTTTATGAAAAAAGAGCAGATGTTAATTGTTATCATGAGAATTGAACAGTCGTTGAAAATTTTTTCCCACATTATTTGAGGAAATAATTATATTATTGATTTGTTATAGATTTTATTAAAAAAAAGAAAGAAAAAAATCGATCATACAGTGAAAGAGATGAATTTATAATAAAAATTATAAAAAATGTGATAGTTTTTCTCTGAATTATTGACATTTATAAAACAGATTTATTGTTAATTTTATTATATAAATAAAAATTTAAGAAAAAGAAAGCTACCAGTGTGATAATATTGACGCTTCGCATCTTTAAAAGTTACATAATGTAGTGTAAACTTTTCTCAATTATATATATTTATACCTAGATGTTCGTTGCAGCGTAGCGCTAGTAGGGCTACCAAAACTACTACAGATTGATGTAAAGCGATTTTGAACCAAAAATTTATCCCAAATCGCATACTGATGAAGATTTTTCACGAATTATGGATTACCATATTATTTCCTTTTATCATTTAATATTATACAATATGAGTATTATTAATATTATATATAAAAATAATACTAATATTATTAATCGATATTTAATAATATTAACATTAAGAACTTTGTAAATAACTAAATATGAAAATCACGAAAATGGACGTTCAAATGCCTAGAAATGATTAATTTTTCATTACAGTTAAATGAAATAAAATAATTTTCGCATGAACTCTTGCCTTTGAATAATTGAAACCTTAATTATAGATTTAAGAATTCTAAATTTCGCTAAAAGCGTTTTCAGTCTCGTGAATTTAATAATCTTGTCTGATTATTGTGAAAAAAATATATACCAGTTGATATTTATTTCTTTGAACAAATTTATTCATTCTAAAGCGACGATTTTTATATATGAGTTTTGTTAATTTTTTTTTCATTCATCATGGTATTATATACAGTCACGTACACATATATTGTATAGAGAAGAAAAAGTATAATATGGGTAAAAAAATTGTATAGGTTTTGAAATATTTCTACCTATATGCATGTATAAGAAAAAAGAAACAATCAGGAAGAGAAAGATAATAAAAATATTAGCTGCTGATGTGCTTCAGGTGGTATAGATTCGATAATATGATAATTTGTTTTTTAGTATTGCTCAAAACATTTTTTCATTCTGCAGCTATACATATTTAAATATATATAGCATAATTTTCAAGCAAAATTTACTATGTATTTTATTTTATAATGGATGTATGTACAAACGATTATACGATATTTTTATATAGCTTCAACGTATTCATACTCAATAATATATATTTGTTATATACTTATTTTTTTCGTAGCTTTTCGTCGAAGTGGTGTATCCAACAACATTACCTTATATTATAATATTATCGTTTCACAAAAACAATTAAGTGAAAATCCATTTGTGCAATAATATGATACATTGAAGCTTGTAACACTCTCACACATTTTCTAATATATTTTCGTTATTATTATGTCTTCTCGCTCTCGTAAATTTATTTTTGCTATCTATTACACATGAATTATCTCCTCTTGCTATAGCAAGATTATTCATATATATTTTGTATTCTACCTTGTATGTACGTCGTAATTAAGATACTTGTTATAGAAAAATATGCTATGCCTAAAATAGGATAAAGGCCTGCAAAGGCGACCACAATGTAATTATATATTCTCATTCTCTCGTCTCGTGCATGCACTTAGGTAATTTACTAAGCGATCTGTTCTTTGTATTAAAATTTGTGTGCATAAAGACAAGGTAATAATTTCGTCATTTCGTCAAAGCAAAAGCTTGGTATCATTTCATTCTGATATATGTACTTTGTAACATATCTATCTGTCTACGTAGAAAGAGAGAGAGAAGTGAAGATTAATGAAAAATCAAAGATGAGAACACGATTACTTCGATCGACGGTATCAAGTACTTCCTGTTAAAATATTATTTTGATCGAGTATATGTCAATGAAAGAGTATTGGTGATAAATTCAGCTTAGGAGTACGCAGTTGCATGCGGTACATAAGAAGGAAGAAAAATCATGACAATTCTTAAGATGTAGTTTAGTTTATTTACAGGAAGACTCAATCTGCCGTGCGCTCTACAGTTAAAACATTAAATAAGGGAAAAATAACAATAATTACGACCATTTATCATTTTTTCATTATTGACAGATTAGAATAATAATATGCAATAAATAAGATATCACGCAAGTACCCGTTTCCAATGCGCTCAACACGTATTACATTGCATTGCTTCAATTTACAATGGTAGAATAGTTTATTTTAGAACAAAATCTCAATATTTTTTCAATCTATTTTACAATAAAATATTTGAAATTGTCACCAAATGAATTAATATCAATCATGTCATGTACCTATGAAGTCGTAAATATACTTAAAACAGACACTCACCTTCGGTAATAATCGTACTTATGTATCGTGTCTTGTATCAATTAATGTAGTTATTACTTTTTATTCAGAAAATTGAACATAGAAAGAACATTTTTTATGTTTGCAAGTATGTTTGTATATAATCTTTTTTTTTAATTTGTACTAAAAAGTATTCACTTATTATACATATACATTTATAATTGCATCTTCAATGTTCGATCAGTATGAAAAAAATGAATCGTTGCGGTCATACCCGAATTCTGAGCATTTTTATTGAACAATTATCACCAATTATGCATATACATGGCATTGCTTCGGACCGAAAACAAACGAGATAGTAGATAATTATTCAATATAAGAGTGAAAAAAAATATCGAACAATATTTATTTCTAGCTTTATTTTTCTTTTCATTTTCATTGTCATGACGATTCATATTTCTCAACCAATTCGTTTCTTTCGTTTCGGCGCAAGTAATCAATAGTTTTTTCCTTGGGAAAAAATGTACTCGAGTGATTTCACTTTCTCTAGTTACTACATTTTTTAAATCAAGTACTTTACAGAACATAATGTAAAACTATATTTCTTGAAGAATTTGCAAGCGGGAAAAGGAAAACGGGTATATTTTATATTTTTCTCTTTCCTTTCCAGAATATGAAAAAACAAAATATACAACAAATAGTGAAGAAAATGTAAGAGTTTTATCTATCTTCTCTTTCAATTTATCTTTTTATTATTTCTCTTTCTCTCTCTCTCTCTCTCTCTCTCTCTCTCATCTCTCCTTCTATTTTGTTTTTATGTAAAGATACGCACTCTGTCTTCCGATTGACAAGCAAAATGTGCTTTTTTCATTTAAGCTAACGGCGATCGTTAAGGAAAAATGTTGATTTAACGAAAAAATTTTTTGTAGCTTCCACATTAATTTATAAAACGAATAATTTATTTGTTAATTTATCGTTTTTAACATAGCAATAACTTTTTCTTTTAAATTTGCACCAATGCTTTTAAAATATGAACCACTCAAGTTGAACATCACTGATTACTTCATGTAACTATTGCTTCTCGCTATGTAACAAGTATTTCTAGCTCAACTTTTTTCGTTTTTTTTCCAAGTCCTCACAAGGTTTGATGTTCTTTACCTACCAACCCAGTTATGTTATTATTCTAAAAATTGCAGCCTGCTTCACGCAGTAGTTTCAATGTTCAATTTGTGATAGTCCTTTCATCAGCTTTCAAATATAAATTCCCTCAGACAATCATTACTAGTGTTCATTGACGTTACAATTAATTAACTCGCATATTAAGTTGATAAAAAGGAAGTAATTTTAATAAATAAAATAAGCGAGAGCAATAATTAAATAAATATAATGATAATTAATAATAATAATCATGATAATAATATTAATGATAATTATATAAATAAGACAAACTTACGGAAGAAAACGAGAATTACCGACAAACTATCTGCCTACACGCTATATAGAACGGCTGACAGCCATCTTTCGCAGTAACAGTATGCAGTTAATAATTCATAATAATATATGTATATACTTTTTTATATTCATTTATTATATGTATATAAGACACACACCGATCAGCAAATATCTATTTAAATTATTTATTAATAATTAAATATTTTTGAAGATAAGAGAACGAGGAACGGACACGCGCTGTCGTTGAAAGGTTCATCGGTCATCCTGTTTGCTTTTTGTATGTTTTATGAGCATAGCCAATGTATATACATGTACATACATATTTATTTGCTATTAGCAGGTAAAGAAAGTTACACGGACGTATGCTTGCATGAGCGATGGTTTATCATTCTTTTCACACTCATTTTATATCAATACATTAGTCAGATACACAATTACAAGTGACTATTTCTCGCGAATCCTCTAACCGAAGTAGCTTCTTCTGATCTGCGATCAGAATGAAACTCTTATTTTTCGATGAGGGATTCATGAAACATAATGTACACACTTTGCGTGGAAAAATAAAATGTTCAAGTTAACACGAATTGGCTCCGATAGAAAATTCACATGCGATCTTCAAAATTCTAAATTTTACTACTTTCGGCACGTTTTATGTTATATTGTTGATTTTATGTTATAGTTTACGGATGACAAAACGTGAATTTTAAGAGTTGAATCAAAGAAGGTAAGTTGTCGTTTACGCTTAAAAGAATTAGTCAAGTGTACTTTAAAGTTGGAATGCAAAAATGATAAATATGCATAAACGCTGTACTAGTCATATTCCATTGCATCATTATCAATAGATTAACTACTGTACTTTTACAATTATTTCTGCTAATAATTAAAACTAAATATTGTTATCGATTCACAGATTTAATAACGGCAGTCGTCATCATCAATAACTATCCTTTTTAAAATAAAAAAATTCATTCTGAACTGCATTTTATATAAAGGCACATAACTGAACTTGTTACAAAATAAAATGGAAAACAACTAACAATTAAAACGAGTTTCCAATTTACTTTTTTTAACCAATACATTTCAATCGATAAACTCGCTCTCATCCATTTTAACTGAATAGTATGACATCGCTGAAAACGCCGATTTCTCAATTCGACATCTAATGATAATGACTGACCGCTCTAAGAATTATACATTTGCCTACTTAAAGTACGGAGGAACGCTTAATTATTGAGTAGCGTTCGCTCTTCTTCACTATTTCGTCAAAATAACTAATAAAAAACAAATAATAAAGAGTAATCCTTTAATCATATAGTTTCAAATAATAATCATGTTGATTCAAAGTAATAGGTACAGTAGTATTAATTGCAGCGTTGAAGGTTAGTAGGAATTTAAAGCTGGCAGCACTTAGTAATCAGATGTATAATATTACTAATAATTTGCAAACATTAATCTTTTATACAATCATATAAGATATTCAATTAAATGACAATCTTTAAAAAAATGGCACTGATCACAAAAACTGTGCTTGTTGAACTTTTGTGATTAATTTGCTTGAATGTACTGTATGATTTATGCACTGACAATCGTTATAATAAAACAATTTTTCATCATACTATAAGAAATACATTCCGTTTTTTAATCAAGTATAAGAATTCTTTAAACTTTATTGAAGATTTACCTAGTAATCTGTAGAATTAATCTTCAATTTAGCAAAAAAAATTCAATACTTAAATATCTTTCTTTCCTGCTTTGTTATCAGGTTCTTCTTGTATATCTTATTTAAATAATTAAGCCTCTAAGACTGGGATTCCGTTCCTCTTCTCATTGTCATCTAACGCTTGACAAATTTAGCTATATTTTTTCAGGAGCTTATTCAATAGTTAGAATTGCTTTCACTCAATTTTAGAGCACACACTTGTACACAACGTACTTCACTCACTCACGTGTACACACGTCCGCACGCTCACGCACACATACTCTCACACATATATAATATACTCTCTAATGGACTCTCACACATATTTACGTACTGCTTTTGCACACGTAATAGTAATAATGTTCATTTGTTTGATCCTTGGTGTGCAATTATCATCATGATACAGAGCTGCCAGATAAATTATCTCGTTTTCTTCGTGAATTTTCGTTTAATATTTTACTTAAATTAATTATATATAACCAACTTCCCGAACGATCTACACACTAAAATAGTTCAAATTTTTTGCACTTTTTCACCAACAACAACTGGATTATTACGCCGAATTTCTTGAGCGCCCATTTCTCTATAATCAAACTTGCAATCATGTTTGTCACTGTATCGATGCACAGCGCAGAAGAGTCCACCACATCGACACTCGAATCCTATTAAAAAATAGTAGGGATATTCTCATTTAATGAAACAGCTTAATGTACTTAAAAATACAGGTATGAATCAAAGCAAAATAAATACCAGTCAAGCCAACTTTTTTGCGACAAAGAGCACATCGGTTCTTCTTTTTCTTACTGTCTTTATCAGTCTCTTTGCCATCAAAGCAGTCATCCAAATCTCCACTACTCACAGAACTTCCAGCAGCTGTACTATTACCTGCTTCACTTTCTTGATCATCCCTGCTTGTTTGTAACTGTAAATTTTATACATAACCATTAATATTATCAATATCAGTTTAGTTCACAAGTTTTTATACCATGAAAATATTGAAATGAAAAGTCATTTCAACAATTATACTTTTTTTAAATTTTGATTTAATTTTATTGCCAAAAAAAATGTCTTGGATGGTTTAGGTCTTCATTATGATAGAACAAAAAAAAATCTATCATAACCCCTGTACATATGGTTACCATGGATACGAAGAATGGAACAGATTTAAAATTCTGTAGTATTTTATTACTTACATCTTTTGAACTAGGCAGGTCTGTGGTTGACTGTGGCATGGGTATTGTTGGTATCGTAGGTTGGGCAGTTGTTCCCGTAGATGCTGGACTGGTAAAAGTAGTTTGCAAAACAGCAGCTGCAGCATTACCTGCAGCTGTTTGTGAAGCTGATGGTGCTGATACTGGTGGCTGCTGTTTCTTTTTCAGATTTTCTTTAAAACACAATGAACAGAGTCCATCTGTAGCTGGTGATCCATAAAAGCCACAGCCACTTCGGCATAGAGCTTGCATTGGATTTGATTCACGTTCCATTTTATCTTGAATTTTAGATCTGCTTTAAAATTATATCAGAGCTTGCAGGCTCTTAGGTTGACTCAGGTTCAATGTGTAAGCACGATGAAGTATAGTTTCACACCAACAAAGTTATAGTACAGTGTTGAATGAAACTTTTCAGGCAGGCAGAAGCAAAATTGAAGCCTTTTTTCTCTTGTGAACACGTATTTTATCGTGTCAGTGCTTGATTACCTGAAACATAAAAGTATAGCAACAATGAATAAATAGAATTTGCGCTTGACAGCGTAATCGACAAGATGATAAATTTAAATGTTATGAGTCAACAAATGAGTTAGATCGTAAGAGCAAGGAGGGCGAGGAGTCTGGCCAGCGAAAAAAACGAAGCTAACATGTATACAAATGTACATGCAAGATTCGCAAATATAGACGCACACGCTCACGTATCGCAGGCATTCGCAAATAAATAGGGCATTTCGAAGATATAAACATGTAAATATTCTCAATCATCGTGTGCAAAACGCACAAGTGCAGAATGCATGGGCAAATTTGAAGTACTTGCGCAAGCATAGAGAGTAAGAGCACAATTTTCGCGTATACTGCGACAGCGATAGCAGAGTCAGACTATGCTTACACCATCATCGTCATCGTCGCCTCACCTCTTTGGGTCTTTCTCGCTCACTCACTCACTCACTCACTCACTCTCTTTCTTTCTCTCTCTCTCTCTCTATCTCCCCCTCTTTATTCGCAACAATCATCATTCACTTTCCACGAATCCGAACAAGTTGCTCGACGTATAAACTTGCACAAAACACGCACACGGGCATTAGGAACATGACTTTTAAACGCTCCGCAAAGATACACACATTGATATATTTTGTAAATAGTCCCAATAGGACGTGCTGCTTTATGCGCGCTTGTGCACATACATATTTTTGCGTGAGCGGAGGTAATGCTCGAAGTAAGTAAGAATTACAATCGCCTACAGTCTGCACCAACACACTCACTTTTCAGAGAGCGCCTCTGTTCCCCGACGGCAACCGAGCGAGCACAACATGGAGGTGCTGCTGCTGCTGCTGCTGCTACTATTACTACTGACGATCACGAATATATAATGTATATATAGATGTACACATATATACATATATTAAATATATATGAGTATGTGTATATGTACTTATTATATATACATATAAAACGTATGAGTTATGGATGTATAGTTATTAACGTATGTAGTCAAGACAGATTTTCACACACACTCGCACAGACGATTTGCCACGGAGTCGCGAACACATCACACAAAGCACAAGGCGTAGAACACACAGACTCGTTGGAGTCAAGTATCTTGGAGCACAAATTAAGGCAAATGGAGAGAAAAAACCTCAACTGTAAATATCAGACGAACTTTTTGGTAATAGAGACGAACAGACGCAGACAAAAAGTCGATGTATAATAGAGAAGCTGCTGCTGGTGGTGTTACTAATGCTGCTGCTGCTGCTGGGTTGGCTGGCGCTGCTGGTGTGTTGGCTGTGCTCGCTCGTTGCGATGACTGTAGTTCCCAGCTCTCTGAATGCCCGAGCGCGACAGAGAGACAGCGCCTCGCTCTTGTGCTGGCTGACTGCTGCTGGTTGGTTGGTCGCTTGGATCTCTCTCTCTCTTTCTCGCTCACTCTCTATCTCTATCTCTCTCTTTTTCACGCGCGCTCTCTTTTACACTGACAGTACGAGTAACGTATACACTGAAGCTCGTGCGCCACTACTCTGGCCTCGACGACGATGTGTTACTGACGCGACGGCCAACTTTCAAGTAGTGGAAACCGTCGTGGTCGTTGCCTCGTCGTCGACTTGGCTGCTGGTGCTGCTGCTACTCCTGCTGCTGCCACCGCCGCCGTCGTCGTCGTCGTCGTAGCCGTCGGTAATTCAGAGTGGGGCAATGTTGAACTCGTAGGAAAGCCAGTGTATACTTATACGTACACAACAGTCACTCCTATGCGATGCGATACATACATACGTATATCGTTCTTCGCATATAGATATATATTTATACGAGGCAGTGAGCTCGAGATAGGGAAGGAGAACTGCTGATGCTTCGAGGCTGACTCACTATATACTTCAGCTGCTATATAGATATAGAGAAATCCATGTCCCACACGAACACCGAGTCAGACTGACAGTGCTCAGAAAGAATATAATACTCGGCAAAGGCTCCAACTGCGACTCTGCGCGACCAACTCAACGAAAGAAAGTTTTTCAGTCTGATAACAATGAAATACGAGACAAACTTCACATCGTTGATTAGCCTCTGTACACCGTGTACACTGCTGCACACTCGGTGCATCGTCCTTATTTTTTATAAAAAATATTATGTACTCGAACGTCTTGCAGATTTTCTTCGCTTTCACGATAACCCGGCAGTTGATTATTTCTTCTCGAGAGCTTACGTAAGAACGAGGTTACAACGTCGAATAAAGCGTCAAAGTAGCTATGACTATTTCACCAAGGGAAGCAGCATTACAGCTTTCTTCGAAGCTTCGGCCTTGCGATTTTTTCATATGCATGCGTAACGATCGTCGCCGAGCACCAAAGCTCGAAGATTAATACGCTTAGATGCAGCCTTGGCATTGATCTATACAGCTGCAAGTTCTATTTCAGATTCCTGTTGGCGTCGATATACACACCTGTACGTTGAGTTCTGCACTTGCTCGCAGGCGCACGCACATTACGTAGGTACATCTGTCGATGTGCCTTTCGACATTCAATATATGCTTTTTGTTCTCGCGAGACACACGCAGTTGATAAAGGCACCTGCGAGCCGCGACGAGACGATTTTCTGGCGAATATCCAGATGCGCCACGGAAACTCGTCTATATCTCCCACACTGCCGTTGTTTCGCTTTCGCACGATCGTACGTACGTGTGACGCAGCGATTAGCTGTCATTTCAAGTGTTTTTTCCCTCGCGCTCGCGAATACGTCGTTGGACTTCTATGTTTGTGTTACATATCTATATGTACGCGAGCTGCGCGGCGTCTTGGCATTTGGCAAGCACGAAACAGCGCAGCTCGACGAGAGTACGTTGGCTTTGTGAGAAAATGAGCTTTTTTCGAGTTCAGCTTTGTGTAACAAAGTAAAGCTTTATACGCGTCCATTTGCTTTGGCGCAAATGTCAATGTGCTTTTTTAAAATCTTGCAACCGCTCTAATTTTCGTACGTCATCCATCTCTCAAGCTTGTTTTGTTGCTCGCTAAAAAACGTGACTTACACTTCCCTCATTTTCATCTTCGCGTAGACTTTACTTATATTGGACTGACAAGTCTCGTGCAAATATTAATTCTCTGTTCCGTACAACACAATAATCTCGGGTTAAAACATTTGCGTGCTCAACCGAATATAATGTTGAATATTGGGGTTTCAAAATAACATGTACTCATAAACACGTGCTTAAAAGTACTTGTAAGCATTACAACTCACAGCTATAAAAGCCACGTGGTCGAATCAATTTTCCATCTTAATAGATTCAATTTCCAAAATGAACCTAAAATTTTCGACCATCTCATTTCCAAGCATCGTATTTAAATAGCCATATAGTGAGATTAAACTGGAAAATTGTATGATAAAAGGGCCTATTTTAGGAAAATTCAACAGGGTACTTCCGATAGAGATAACCTTTTTCTCCAACTGTTCAATATTCCATAATTATCCAACTTCAAAAATCAACGGCTTTCAATCAATATTCAAGATGACTAGTGAATTTCAAAAAAGAAATAGTATTCTCGGCATTCGAATGGTGTCGATCAGCCTCGCTGATGAATGTATAAAAAATACTACGTGAAGTAAAGATAATAACAAAAAAAAACTAGTTTTAGTGGTACAAGCATACTTCGGTCAGACGAACAAAAGATGTTTAGGTCAGTGTACTTTCATTTAAATCAGTTTACCGAATAGAACGAAAATATTCTTACATGGGTATTTAATGTGTTCACCTTGTTTCGAAAGAATCTTCACATATCTCATAACAAAGAGAGTCAAGTGCAACCAATCATGTCTCATCATCGTTATTATCATCTCAAATAAGGTCGCTCACTATTCTATTATGTTACAACTATGATGACTTCAAGCTTTTTTTCTTTATCTACAAATCTGAACGTCCATCTCTACTCCACGTGTTACATATCATCGTATAGCGGTTGAATACTTTCACTATGTATTTGGAATCATATGTTCGAATCGGTCGATTAAATGAATCCAAATACAAAAACCTCAACATTAAACTTGTTCAGAGTTATACCGGTAAGAAATATGAAACAAATGTTAATTCATTTTTACATGTTGCAATGTGGTTAATTGTTTTAATGATTCGAATTTTCAAATCACAGCAATAGATAAAATTACTTAACAAGAAAGAGAATAATCATCACGGAGCGAGTTCTCAGTATTTTGAAGAGAAAGTGATGCTTAAATAAATTAACTGGGTCGATATAAACAAGGAAATAATTTCTTTGAATTGTCTAAAGAGACTTTAGTAAACAGCTTTTGGAGTCAAAGGCATGGTTTATGCGTCGATCATTCAATAATACTCAAATATCAAGAATATCCAAATATGATGATCAATACATATCACATTCATTTTTATCGCATAATGCCCTCATTTTCTTTTTATGTGTGTAAGGGTGACAAATTTTTTTAGATGATGTAATGTCCGGTTGATGTTGCTAGATCATATAGGGTAGGTGCACCTATTATTGTGCCTGTCTGTATTACTGGATTTTAACATGTAATCAAATGTTCAGTAATAAGGTCATTAAAGGTTATGTCTTGGGCACAGTAATAGGTGTTTTACCCTATGTATAGTAAAATTCATTTCCACTCAGTTTTTTGTAAAATTATAAATCGTTTCTGTTTTGAAATTTTGAAAAAACAGTCAATACAATTGCGATATTTTTATAGTCTGTGAATCGAAATCTGGTATGAATATTTTGTTATTCAAACTAGTCATTTATTTGAGGTCGTATCTATCTATAAGTCTAAAAAATAGTATACTTTGGACAAGTAAAAAGTATGTTTATTTTGATAGAAATGTTGGTCTAAAATATGCCAATCTGTTACAAGCTCAATGCTCGACTGAAATCAGCGAATATTGCTCAATCTTTCACGAACAATAAGTCTAGATCGCTCGCTCAATGCCGCGCTGTCGTTTCATAGTAAAACTTACGTGCACGCGCATATGAATATTATAT